GCTTCGTACTCTTAGGCTAGCAATGCGATTCCAACCTAAGCTCTGTCTCCCTAAACCCTAAACCCTCAACCCCTAAACCTCTAAACTCCTAAACCCCTAAACCCTAAACCCCAAACCCCTAAACCCTATAAAGCCTAAACCCTAAACCGTGGTGTCCTCGTTCTGCGGCCTTAAAGACCAGCAGACAGTGCTGCACAAGGCAGAGCGGAGCTTCTGCTAGAGCGTCAAGCATCAGTACTGTCAGTATCATGTCTGGTGGATGTAAGGGTTTAGGGTTTAGGGTTTAGGGTGGTGGATGTAAGGTTGAAGTCCTGCTAGTGGCAGTAAAGTGTGGACATTGGCAGGATTGTCGGCATCTCCATTCGAGAAACCTGCATCGCCCATGTGCCACTAGACATGCGTGCATATGAACTATTCCCATGTCTGCCATGGCTGAGACTCTGCCGAAGAGTGTGCGCATCAACATTGGTGGTGAGAAGGTCATTCAGGTCCATACAGACTTGTTTCGTGTGGCCGGAGACAACAAATTATCTGCACTCTTCTCTGGTCGCTGGGAGCCTCACCTGGATGCCAGTGGCCAGTTTTTCGTGGATTACTCTCCTGAAGTGTTCATGCCTTTTGTTGAGTGGTTACGCGAACTGCGTGACACTCCATCAGGTCAGACGCCTCCATGTATCGAAGTGGAAAGCAGGCATCGCCGCGCAATCATCCGGATGATGGCTGCACTCACGATTGAGGTGCGTTACCTTCGCAATGCTGGGTTTTCAGTTGAAGAGTTACTGTCCTTGGGCTTTGAAGTCGGCTGTTGCCTCGCGGGTGGATGCGCAGCGGGCGAGCTCTTCCGTGCCGGAGCCAGTATCCAATCATTAAGGAAGGCTGGGGTACCGGCTTCAGAACTCAAAGATGCAGTGGCGATCAAAGAGCTGAGATTGGCAGGGTATACTGTCACTGATTGCTTGCAAGCAGGAGACACAGTTGAAACACTGTTAGACATCAAGTTGTTCACTTTGGCAGAGCTTCACGTGGCTGGAGTTACGGTGAAACGGCTGATCGATGCCGGATGTGATCTACCGACTCTGAAAAACCAAGGTTTCGGAGTCGGAGATGTTTTGCAAGCAGGGGTCACAGTTGAAGTACTTCTTGCCACCAAGTCGTACACTTTGGTAGAGCTTCACGAGGCTGGAGTGACGGTGAAGCAACTGATCGATGCCGGATGCGATCTACCAAAATTGAAACAGGCAGGTTTCGCAGTCAGAGATGTTTTGCAAGCAGGGGCCACAGTGGAAGTACTTCTTGCCACCAAGTCGTACACTTTGGCAGAGCTTCGCGAAGCTGGAGTGACGGTGAGACAACTGATCGATGCCGGATGCGATCTACCAACTTTGAAAGAGGGAGGTGTTGGAATCGGTGATGTTTTGCAAGCAGGAGCCACAGTTGAGGTACTTCTTGCCACCAACACCTACACCTTGGCAGAGCTTCACGGAGCTGGTGTGGCGGTAAAACAACTGATCCCGGATGCGATCTACCAACTTTGAAGCATGCACTTTTCGAAGCCCGCAGTTGAAGTGCTTTTTGTCATCAAGTCGTACGCTTTAGCAGAGCTTCAGGTGGCTGGAGTTATCGTGGAACAGTTGTTGGATGGCGGATGCGATCTACGAACTTTAAGTGCGATGGCGGCCGAAGAGTCAGGGAATAAAGTCGCTGATATCTTGCACGCAGGGGAGACAGTTAAACATCTCCTAGACACGAAGCTTTTCACTGCGGCAGAGCTTCATGGGGCAGGAGTTTATAATGAGAAAGCTGATGGATGCCGGTACAGACTTCAGGTGCAACGGCGGCTGAAGAGCAGAGTTTGGCAGGATATATTGTCGCGGATTTCGCGCTAGTAGGATCAAGCAGGGACGAGCTCAAACTTGTGAACTGCCTTGCAATGGTATGCGTCCCGGCTCTTCGTGCCATCAGGGTACACTGCCAGAGGATTACTCGAGCTCACGGACATGGCATGTGCGAGGTGCTAGGTGCATTTTGGTGTTCAGGGACTGCATGCACTCATGGCCTGCCCTACCCATAGGCCCCATAGTAGTTCCTTGTTGTGGCTTTTATTTAGGATCCTAGTAGGTAATCCCAAAATGGAACTACTATGGGGCCTATGGGTAGTCTGCGATTCACATCAAAGGCTGTGGATGCTCCCGGAAAAGCAAACATGCAACAGCTCTATTTTCGGGTTCAGGCTCCGGAACTGGTGAAGGGTTTCGGGCTTGCATTAACAGTTTGGGGGGCCTGAATACTTAGAAAAGGGTTTGGGTTCCTTTTTATAATTATATATATATATATAGTATAATGTACCCCCAAACCCTATTCTAACTCATAAGGCCTATATAATACAGGCGCCATATGGCAGCGCGCATTGTTGGACTTCCGGGTGTATACCTGATGAGGGTCCATGTACCCAAACAGTCTATACATTGGCCCCAAAGTACTCATACAGGAACTACTCTGAGGCCAAAGTATGTACTATTTGGGTACATTCACCCTTTGGGATGTAACCCCCCCAAACCCTATATCCTAACCAATAAGGCCCCTACATTAAATTGACTGGAGCCATATGGCAGCACACCTTGTTGGACTTCTGGGTGTAGCGGGTTCAAGTCGAAACCTTTGCTCAACTGCCCAAGGAGCAGACTGATTGAATGGCAGAAACAGGATGGAATGTGCAGGGTGTCGCTTTATGCTTCGACGAGAATTTATAGGGTTTAGAATGTAGGGTTTTGGGTTCAAAGTTTAGGGTTTAGAATGTAGGGCTGTTGATAATTGCATTCATGTTTGTCTTCAGGCCATTATAGAGCCTAGGTTGTGTAATTATGGCGCGTTCATAGGCTTTCCGAACAGGGGCTGATGGCGACCGCTGCAGCCATTCTCTCTTCGAGACCGAATCCCCTACGGTTTCTGGATCTTCATTTTGGCCAAGTAGAACCCACCATGGCCATGATCCGCACCATGATTTCCATCTTCTTTTTGAGCTCCGTTGCCACTTGGAGGCATCCAAGCTGCTTCGAAAACTCCTCCCGACAGACGCCAACAAGCGCCAGCCCTAAACCCTAAACCCAAAGCCCTGACACCTTTGACCCCTCTTAATTTCTCAACCCTGAGCCATCGACAAAGTGAGCAGTGTTTGGATGAGCCTCAAAACCTCAATCCTCAACATCTCCCAGCCCTTGGGCCCAACCCCTGAAAACCCTCATGCCCTTAGAAGCACCCACAGAACAAGATACAAAAACGGGAAACTTTACACCCTAAACAGGGCCGCCAGGAACCGATCGAACGAGCTCAGGTGTCGGTGAGCGCGATGTTCAAGAAGGGCTCGAAGCAGCTCGTTGAGGTGGGAGTAGGGTTTGGGGTTTAGGGATTTGGGGTTCAGGGGTTTAGGGTTGTAGGGTTTTCGGGGTTTAGGGTTGGGGATTTAGAGGTTTAGGGGGGTTTAGGGGGGGTTTAGGGTTTAGGGTTTTAGGGTTTAGGGGTTTGGGGTTTAGGGTTTTGGGGTTTGGGGTTTAGGGTTTTGGGGCAGGTGGGATTAGGATTTAGGCTGAAGAGTTTATAGGGGTTTTCGGGTTGAGGGGTTTAATCACTGTAGGGTTTCCGGCGGGCAGGGCACGGGAATGTTGTTGTTTCTAGTTGGGGAGTTGGGGATCAACTGTTTGCTTGTCGGGTTTAAACGGGTTTAGGGTGTTTGGCTCTTCCGGATGTAGGGTGTGAGAGTTTGTGGATCTAGGGCTTTAGAGGGCTTTTGATGGATTCAGTCTATATACGCACCCTAAACCCTACAAACCCTAAAGTTTCAGAACAGGGCTTCGGTTTCTATAAGGAGAAGGGAGGCTTTCCCAATACTCAAACACTCCAATCCTTGAGCCCTAAACACCGAAGCCCTCCCCGGCCCTTCAGGGTTTGGGGTTTAGGGTTTAGGGACAAACAAATGATTATATATTGTCTATACACATGTTATATATATATATATAGGGTTATATAGGTAAACCTAAGAGAGCTCCAGGACAGTCCCTTCTGTAACCTAAAGTAACTTAATGATATGGTATACTATAAAACATATATAGAATAGTGTTACATAATTTGTTCTTGTCCACAGGACCATCTTGATGGTCAGATGCCTGTTGCCGCCAAGCTGGAGAAGAAGGCGATGTAATGTCTCGGCTTGGTGTTCGGCTTTAGGATTCAGGTTTGAGGACTTAGGGGGTTGGGGTTGAGGCTGATAAAGTTTTCCAGAGCCTCACGACAGCAGCACCTATTCCGGGCCCTCTTGCTGACCACCCACGCGATAGAAACTAGGAGACCCAATTCACTGGCACGGAACCCCAACGCAAAAAAAAAAACGCTCAAGCATGACCGTAATAACCGCACACCAATACACAGCGATGAGTGAAATTGTGGATAGTACTACTTAGCATTATCAGTAGTAGTAGGAGTAGGAGTAGGAGTAGGAGTAGGAGTGGAGTAGGAGTGGGAGTGGGAGTGGGAGTGGGAGTGGAAGTGGGAGTAGGGTAGGAGTAGCAGTAGCAGTAGCGGTAGCAGTTGCAGTAGCGGTAGCAGTAGCAGCAGCAGCAGCAGCAGCGGCCGCAGCAGCACCAGCATGAGGAGGAGGAGGAGGAGGAGTAGTAGTAGTAGTAGTACTACTACTACCACTACTACCACTACTACTACTACTACTACTACTACTACTACTACTACTACTACGGCTACTACTACTACTACTCCTCCTCCTGCTGCTGCTGCTGCTACTATGATGATGACGGCTA